CAAAGCTTCTTGAAGCTTCATTTGCTCTAGTAGGACACCTACTGGACAGCCTGTAAATGTCAACAACAAAAGGAGTGTGTAAAACATGTATATTGTAGTGATGCAGTATACTGTGTATATTTATACTGGCAGTATGGAAAATGATCATTTACTGTGAGGTGAGGTGTGGTTGGGGTGTGGACAGCTACACACTGAGGCCTCAGTCTGGAAAAGTTTGGAAAAGTTTCATATTCATTTTAGAAATTTTATTTAAAATGATCAATCTTTTAATAAAATGATTAAAGTCATGAAGATACATTTCTTGCAAAAGGATTTGAACAAAGATGATTGGGAACATGGCTTATTAACTTTACTTGTACTAAAAAATCAGTGATTATTGTAAAAGTAACTAATTTTGGATACATATGATTACGTTGTGGGGGGGGGATAGTGTAGGACGAGCTTTCAGACATGAGCAATGGCCCACTTTTATACAAAATATACTCGGTTCTGTCATGAGGACTCAAATGGCACTGAATGCTTGGAATGACCAGTTTGTCCATGAACAAACATCACACTTCACTTCCTGTTGTAGTTGTCATTTTGATTTTGAGGTGCCCAGCAACAATCTTTGAGAGCCGTCCTCTTTCTGCCCACTTTAACAACCTGTGTGAAGAACAGGATCTGTTAGTACTGAAGATCAACCTGAATAATCAGGTGGGAATATTTAGACCTATTTTACATCAAAATGGAGGCTTTCTATTGGACAACCAACAGATGCTCTGAGGCGTCCTAGCCGTGTAGGCGAGCTGGTGGTAGCTACATTAGGACAGCAAGTGTCTGTGCTGCTGGTGTCAGAAAATCTTAGAAGAGCGTGTGATGAAACCCAACAGAATATAAAACGATAAGCACCAGTTTGGGGAATAAGACATCTGTAATGACCAAACACATACAGCTGTATAACACCCGCCCACAAGGCACACAGAAGCCCCGCCCACAAGGCACGCCCAAAAGACATTAACATACAGAGCTGTACAAGAGCCGCCCACAATGCACACACAGTCTGTGATGGCTGCACTTACAGCCACACAGTGGTAACACCCACCATGTTAGTGTGGAGGCTTATAAGTAACATCACATTCACATTTGTCTTTAAATATAGGAATTAATTTACAGGACAATAAATTACTGGTTTTGGTTTAGAGTTCATTCACATATCCACATAACACTGCATTCTAAAATAAGTGCGCACATTTTAGTTTACACTGTTATGTGTGATTAATCTTT